GAAAAAAACCGCCAGCGGCAAGAAGAAAACCTTCGGCGGCAGGAAGAAAACCGCCGTCGGCAGGAAGAAAGCCTCCGGCGGCAGAATGAAAACCGCCGTCGACAGGAAGAAAACCGTCGTCGGCAGGAAGAAAACAATGAAAAAAAACGTAATTTAAATCATTTTTATTAAAATTTTCAAAAAAATTAACAAATTTCTTTTTTTTTAACTTTTCAGAGTACAAAAAAGAAAAAGGAAATCATCATATGTAATTAATTAATAAGAGGGTAAAAGCAAATTAAATGATTGGTTCTTTGCTTTTAATTGTAAAAAAAATTTTATTTTATTTAATATATTAAAACAAACTACTTTTTTATTTAATGTCTTACACTTGTTATAATGTTTGCAAAGTCCCTTATTGACATTGATTCATTTAAATCGTTTTTCAACAGCATAGTTATATTTGTGAATTGTAAAGTAAATATATTTGTTAGTAATTTTGACCACGTTAAGCAAGATTTTATAGATACTTAGATTAGATACTTCATATATGGTATGATTCGTTGCAATATATTTTGTCACCTTCTATACAACTATACAATCTAAAGTATAGTTTCTTCCAATAATGCACGATTCTAGTGTTAACTAATTTTATTAATTAATTTTTTTTTAATTTGTTTCCAAGTCGTGAACGATTATGGTTAAAATAAATTACACTGCTGCCATTCTTGGGGCATTGAAGAAGGAGGAAATACTTAAGATTGGCTTAAAAGAAGCTGATCAAGACATCTTCGAGCGTATTATTGAGAATATAAATACTCAATTATCAGGTAAGTCAATTATTTTAATTAAAAAAATAACGTACATGTTAGGCGTAAGATATGTAATGCTTATTATTTTTGTAAAATGAAAATTATAAAAGGTAATTCGTTTAATGATAACGAAACAAATGACGAATCAAGCACATTAGTGCCGATAAGTGTATTAAATACGTTAGATACCCCCCCTCTTACAAACATATGAAGAGTCAAGCACATTAGTGCCGATAAACGTAGTAAATACGTTAGATACTTCCCTCTTAGATAGAACCACAGGTAGTGATAGGGACCTTGATTTGAATATGTCAAAAACAAGCCTTAATAGCACTTCTAATGTTGCTCTACTAAGAGCTATAAAATTCAAAAACTCCACCAAAAATTTAAATATAGATGTAGTTATGGGTTAGGGAAGCAATAAGAAACGTAAAATGTCGTTTAAATGTTCAGTAAAGGACTCAGAATTTTTTATTGAAAATATGTTGCAAACTTTAAACGACTGTGGCGACCCAGTTGGCTGTGCATTTATTGAATTTAAAAAGTAAAATTCAATTTCAAATATTTTTAAGTTTTTTGTTTGGATTGAGGAGAACGTTCCGATTTTTCTCTCTGTAAAAAGTTGAATAAAAGTTTATTAACATTGAAAATTTTTAGAGTTTTATTAATTAGCAAGGTGAACAGATCATTGCTAAATTGGTGACCCCGACGTGATATCGAAAAAGTTTAAATTTAGAAATATTAACTTCTGAGCTAAATATCTAATTATCGAGCTGTGATGTCAGTTGCAGACGAAGGTGTAGTAATGGCTTCTGATAGTGGAAGTGTCGTAAACCGTGTAGCAGTGAAGGTGCCACCGTTTTGGCACGAGCGACCGGAGATTTGGTTTGCTCAGATCGAGGCGCAATTCGCAGTAGCTGCCATTACGAGTGATATCACACAGTTCAACACGGTAGTAGCAGCGATTGAGTCAAGTGTTATCGCCGATGTAAGTGATGCAGTGCTTCATCCTCCTGAAACTGGAAGATACGCTAATTTAAAGGCTTGCATCATAGAGCGGTACAGTGAGAGCGAGCAGCGGAAGATTCAACGGTTGTTGTCAGAAGTTGAACTTGGTGATAGACGCCCAACACAGTTGCTAACGGAGTTGACAGCATTAGCTAAAGACAAGGTGAGCGATGAGTTCCTTAAGTCTCTTTGGCTGAAGCGTTTGCCACCACAAGTGCGCGCTATTCTGCAGGCATCGAACGTGGCACTAGCAGAACTGGCGAAATTAGCAGATCGTATTTGCGAGGCGGGTGATTTTCAACAGATAGCTGTAGCGTCAGCCTCTGATTGTCCAGCCTATTCTGAGAATGCTGTGATTTTACGAAGGCTTGAGCAAATCGAACAGCGTCTGAGTCGTTTGGATTTACGTCGTAGTGAGTCGGTGCAAAGTCGATCGTCATCGAGGAGACGTAGGCGAACTCGTTTCCGACCAGGAAGTCATCCAGATTGGTGCTGGTATCACGAAAGGTTCGGTGATAGAGCTAATGCTTGTCGGCAGCCCTGTAGTTTTGTGGCAAGCTCTCATCAGTCAAAAAACTAGGCACTCCTTCTACGTCGTCGAGCCGAGAAGGGGTTAGTGTTCGTATAGCTCGACTTAGTATTAAAGATCCCGCCACGTCGACCGTTTTTCTCATTGATACTGGTGCGGACATATCAGTTTTACCGAAGTCGTTCTGTCGTTGGAAGCAAAGGGCTAACAGTGTTGCATCAGTTAATTTATATGCCGCTAATGGTACGCCTATTCAAACATTTGGCGAGCGTCGACTGCTTTTGTCTTTGGGTTTGCGTAGACATTTCCCGTGGACGTTCGTGATTGCGGATGTTAGCTGTCCTATTGTTGGAGCCGACTTCCTTAATCACTATGACTTGTTAGTGGATTTGAAAAGGAAGCGGTTAGTTGATTCGAAGACGACTTTGATGATGAAGGGTAAGGCTGCTGTGTCTCAAGAAGATACTGTGCGTGTGTGTGGTTCAGTTTCAGCTTATGCTGAGCTGGTTAATGAATACCGTGATTTAGGCATTATGAGTGCAAATCGGATGGGTTTAGTTACTAAGGTTGAACATTGCATCGAGACATTTGGTGCGCCGTCATTTGCTCGTCCCCGACGTTTAGTTGGAGCCAAACTTGAAGAAGCCAAGAAGGAATTCCAATTTTTAGTTCAGACAGGGATTTGTCAACCTTCGAAAAGCTGTTGGGCAAGTCCACTTCACATGGTTCGCAAAGGCGATGGAAGTTGGAGACCGTGTGGCGATTATCGCATGCTCAACGCGCAAACTAAACCTGATCGGTATCCGATTCCGTTCATTCATGATGTGACGAGTATTCTTCATGGTAAAACTATGTTTTCGAAGATAGATTTGCAGAAAGCGTATCATCAGATACCGCTTGCACTGGCAGACATTCCGAAGACAGCTATTACAACTCCGTTTGGCCTGTTCGAGTTTCGCTTTATGACTTTCGGTCTCCGTAATGCTGCCCAGACGTTTCAGCGTTTTATGAATGAGACTCTAGGTGATCTTAATTTCGTTTTTGCGTACATCGACGATATTTTAATTGCGTCAAAAGATGAAGCAGAACACAGAATGCATTTGCGGCTGGTTTTAGATCGACTTAGAGAAACTGGTTTGACCGTGAATTTTGCCAAGTGTAA